CAAAGATGGCGAGGGGCCTGGAGCATCTCCCTATGGAGAAAGGCTGAGTGAACTGGGTCTGTTCAGCCTTGAGAAAAGGAGATTGAGAGGGGACCTCATCCAGGCCTATCAGTATCTAAGGTGTGGGGGGCAGAACGGCGAGGCCGGACTCTTTTCAGCAGTGTGTGGAGACAGGACAAGGGGAAATGGCCAGAAACTGGAGCATAGGAAGTTCTGCACCATTGTGCGCAAGAACTTCTTTACAGTGAGGTGACGGAGCACTGGAACAGGCTGCCCAGGGAGGCTGTGGATTCTCCTTCTCTGGAGATGTTCAAGACCTGCCTGGATGCCGACCTGTGCGACCTGCTGTAGGGAACCTGCTTTGGCAGGGGGTTGGACTCGATGATCTCTGGAGGTCCCTTCCAACCCCTGCAATTCTGTGATTCAGTGAAGAACAAAATTAAATCTGGGTCATCTTAATTTATTTTGAGTTATGATCATGACATTTACTTGAAATTTGTTAGATTCAGTCTTTGGACTGAATTAGGCAGATTACTGAGGTTATCATAAACTGTGAAGTCTTTTTTCTCTTTAGCTTTGAGCAGGAATATTATTCTACATAATTTAGGAAGAAAATTTACCTACAGAAAGATTCATAAAAATGTGTGACTTCTGGTAAGATGCTTTCATTTTGGCAAAGTGAAATTACCCAACAAAATTCCCCACTACATATAATATAGCCTTAATTATCTATAGGTTTATGCAATGCATCGGTAACAAGGAATTACTTACTGTTATTTTTGTCTTTGTTGTTGTTCAAATTACCATAAGGAATCCCTTAAGCCATGAAATATGCAGATAGGTTTTGTTCGTAGTATAATTCTTTTAATGACTTTATTTCAATTTACTTGGTTTAAATCCAAAGTTACTGCTATTATTACTCGATTATTTTTGTGCATCAGTCATGGTTCATTGTTTTCAATTTGTTAGACAAAGGGGGCAAAAAAGAAAAAAAAAAGCAAAATTTGGTTCTCTCAACTGTCTTGTAAAGATATTTCAGGGAAACCTTCTTTATGTGCAGTGACAGAGGATAGATCTAGATTTTGGCATCCTTGACACTACGAGGGATGTGGTCTTAATTTGAAGATATCACAGATGCTTTGGAGCAAGTCATACCTGACTGTCAAAAAAGAGGCTCTGGGGGTGTTCTATTGAATTTTACAGCTGCTCTAGGAGAAACTAGCTGGATTTCTTAAGGTGCATATGTGCACATTAAGCTAAGCAGGAAGGCATGAATTTTTAAGAAATGTGCTATATGGAAAACAAGAAAAAGCAAAGATTTCCTCTCTATACCTCAGCCAAAAATTAGTACCATCTGAAACTAGCTAGAAAGGCAAGAAATGAATGTAAAATTATCCTGCCAGAAATTAAGATTATGTTATTTATCTGCCTTTTTTACTCAGTACGTGTTTTTGTTTTGCCTTTCTTCACAAGTTAAGCTACAAAAATCTCAATGCTTTATCTCTGAAATCCACGGTTATAGCTTCTGTCACACAATCATCCACTAGAATTTTTAACACATAGCATAATTGCATTTGGTTTTTAAAAATCAACATGTGCAAACTGACTTATGACCAGGAAAACTATTAGTGACTTGTGTCTTGAGCGTTTTATATGCAGTTGTGTTGATCAGGCTTGTGTTAGTAGCTAGAAGAAAGGTATGTGGTGAAATATGATAAAGCTGAATTTGAAAGGAAAGAAAATCGTGTGGGATATTAATAACAAGGATGAAACATCATACAGGAATAACATTTTGAGTGTTCTTTACATCTCAGAGTCTGGGATTTTTTAGAATCACAGAATCAAAGAATGGCTTAGGTTGAAAAGAACCTCTAGAAGTAATCTGCTCAAAGCACCTGCTCAGTAGGTGTACTGCAAAAGTGCCAACGGTTTTGCATACGGTTTACTGATCCCAAAGAAAGTATGCGGAGGCAAGTTAACATTCATCAGTTCAATAGGAAGGTACTCACGTTACTGAGGGTGGCTGGCTGGTCAGTCTCTGCCAAGTTCTCACTACCAGGGCAGCCAGCTGGTATAGTGCCCATCCTAGGATTACCCCCAGCAGGTACCGGTAGTGACAGGCTGGCAAGGGGTCTGCTATCCCTCACTTAGTATCTTGGCCATATATATAACAATGAGAGAAAATAAAGCATTATGTATCAGGATATTCAAGACCGTTCACAGAAAGCAAGGACACCTACTTACAGCTACAGTACTTTTCCACACAGTAGGTTGATCAGGATGTCATCTAGATGGTTTTGAAAATGGAAGAGGGAGAATCTCTGGCAACCTGTTTGTTTCATTGCTCAGTCACTGCCTACACAATAAATAACTATTTATGGATCTGGATCTCTCTCTTTTTTTTTTTTTCTTTTCTTTTTTTTTTTTTTTTTTGCATTTACAGAAGACATATATTCAAAGGAAGAAGGGCAGAGACCAGGAGTATAGAGAGTAGAAGTGAGATGTCAAAAACCAAGGGAATGCAAAGGATTCAGAAATAGAAGAGATACAGGCTGGCAGAAATGAAAATCTTTGTAGTCACCTTTGACTGGTAGCAGGTCTGGGAGAATCTTAATACATGATAGAAGAATTGTCACTGTGATTGGAACTTAAAGGAGGAGGACTGTTACATGTGGCATTTTGTATAAGTACATAATATGATAAAATGTGTTAGGTATCTGGTGCCATGTAACAACTCATTTCCCTTTCACATTGCCTTTCCACTGCAGATTACACTGACAGATCACACACACATAACTTCTTTTGGAGGGAGCCATCCTTGGCAGCTATTATAGGTGAGGTAAATGTTTCCAGCTGAAAGGTACTTCTTTCTTTCCACTCTTAGCAGATTAGCTGCTAATATAAATAAGGGGTTCATTAAAGTTGCAGTAGCAACAAGGACAAAACAGAAAAATGTCACAATCTGCCTGAGATGCCTAGCATAATCATTAAGACTGGCTAAAATAGGGGATTTAGTTTAAAATGCTCAGCAGTTACTGTCCTTAAATTCAGTGTTGTCTTGAAATGAGTCATGAAAATTCCTCTGCCATCCTACTTCATAGCTAAATAATACTCTGCAACATCACTCAGTCTAGCAACATTTGTCCATCTCTTTGCAATCTTGCTCAGCTCCACTCATTGCATTTAGAGAGCAACTGAGACAATGCCAGCTGTTGAATCAAGTAGATACATTTGAAAACTCACTTGATTCTGCACTCTTCCTGCATATGAAACACATATTAAAAAAAAAAAAAAATTACCACATCATAAAATGCCATTCACAGCATCATTATTATGTTTAATTTGCCAGTAGATATGTTGTTTGAATTATGGCATAAAAGAATACCCTGGAACTGTGTTTCTTTCAAAATCTTACCTTTATATGTTTGTAAGTGACAAGGGGGTTGGGCTCGATGATCTCTGGAGGTCCCTTCCAACCCCTACAATTCTGTGATTCTGTGATTAATATAGAAACTGTATTTTCTTGAGGAAAGTCAGGAATGCTAATAAAATACAATAAATGTGGTTTACCTTACAGCAGTATGTTTTCAAAGTCTATTTGCCAATTCTTCTCTACTTATATTTGTTTTCCTTTATGAAAGCTCACAGTTTCACAGGAATGTGCTTCTTAATTTCATCTTAGCTTAAGCACATTTGTTTATAAATACTAATATTGCAAGTTAATTATAACTTCTGCTTCTGAAGTTAGTACTTAGGTAGCTCCAAAAGCAGTGCCTCCTGTTTATTTCCATGGAAACTGCAACAGATACAAAGAGCAAAATAATATTACTTGATAGAGCAAATTCTCAGTTACTAAACAGTATTTTCTAATATAGTCACTAGCATTGGCTATGCATTTTTGTTAGTGGTGGACAAGAGCCAGCATGCTGCACTTGTAAAAATTGGCACCAGAGGAGGTGAAATGCACCACTCACTGCCTCACTGTGCTAACATCCACTTTGGTGTCCATATATATTCAGCAAGTTGATGAATGCCAGTGGGAGCAATTATTTCCACAATGAGGAGTTCAATTATACATCTTTTCTTTGTGTGGACTTCCACGTTAGATGCCAATTTGTCACACTGACCCTCTGCTGCCATCTGTCACACAGCACCAAGATGTAATAGAAAATTAGCAGAAAGTTTCAACCTCTACTGCCATGCCACCAGCATCTGCCTGTAATGCAATGGGCAAAGATAATAAAAAGAAGAGGCATTAATTTCAGAGCAGCCCTTGAGCAACTGAATTTTTCAGTGTGTGCTTTCTAGAGAAAACTAATAACATTTGAAATACTTCACTCTGGTTTTTTATTTATTTTTATCTGTTTTAAACTGAAATTATCTTTTACCTCAGCACTAAAAAAATCCATAAGAACTTATTTTTACCATGCATAGACCACATGAAGGGTGTACAAGGTACTCCTGTTTCTTTTCTCTAAGTGATTATTTACAAAATATTTCTAGAAGCAACCATGTTGGAGATCTTCTAGTTAGAAAAAAATCACTCAAAACTCAAACTAAAAATCTTCCTTTTGCAATCCTGTGAGAGAGTCAGGAAATATCAGCCATTGTGTGATTTGTTATATTTATTACAAACATTATTTCAGCTCAGGCTTTTTGTTGCTGACACAGAATGAAAACATGGGAAATGGGGGATGTCATCTTCCTGGACTTCTGCAAGGCTTTGACATGGTCCGTCACCACATCCTTCTCTCTAAATTGGAGATGTGTGGATTTGAAGGATGGACAGTTGGATGGATTAGGAACTGGCTGGCTGGATGCAGCCAAAGGGCTGTGATCAATGGTTCTGTGTCAGGGTGGAGGCCGGTCACCAGCGGTGTCCCTCTGGGGTCGGTCTTGGGACCGGTGCTCTTCAACATCTTCATCAGTGACAGACGATGGCATCGAGTGCAGCCTCAGCAAGTCTGCAGATGGCACCAAGCTGAGCGGTGCAATCGATGCATTGGAGGGAAGGGAAGCATCCAGAGGGACCTGGGCAGGATGGAGAAGTGGGCCTGTGAAAACCTAATGAGGTTCAACAGGGCCAAGTGCAAGGTGCTGGGGCAATCCCAGGTATTGATACAGACTGGGGGCAGATCTCCTTGAGAGCAGCCCTGCGCAGAAGGACTTGGGGTCCTGGTGGACGAGAAGCTGGCCATGAGGCAGCAGTGTGCGCCTGCAGCCCGGAAGGCCAGCTGTGTTCTGGGCTGCATGAAAAAGGGGCGGCCAGCAGGGAGAGGGAGGTGATCGTCCCCCTCTGCTCGGCTCTTGTGAGGCCCCATCTGCAGCGCTGCGTCCAGGCCTGGGGCCCCCAGCACAGGAAGGACGTGGAGCTCTGGGAGCGGGGCCAGAGGAGGCACTGAGATGAGCAGAGGGCTGGAGCAGCTCTGCTGTGAGGAAAGGCTGAGGGAACTGGGCTTGTTGAGCTTGGAGAAGAGAAGGCTGTGGGAGACCTCATGGTGGCCTTCCAGTGCTTGAAGGGAGCGTAGAAACAGGAGGGGGAACGGCTGTGTGTGAGGGTGGATGGTGATAGGACAAGGGGAATGGTTTTAAACTGAGACAGGGGAGGTTTGGGTTGGATATTAGGAGGAAGTTTTTCATCCAGAGGTGGTGAGGCACTGGCACAGGTTGCCCAAGGAGGCTGTGGATGCCCCATCCCTGCAGGCATTCAAGGCCAGGCTGGATGTGGCTTTGGGCAGCCTCGTCTGCTGGTTGGTGACCTGCACACAGCAGGGGTTGGAACTGGGTGAGCATTGTGCTCCTTTGCAACCCAGGCCATTCTGTGATTCCGTGATTCACAGAATGCTCAGAATTCACAGATTCCATACTGATGTTATCTTTTATCTGCTTTTTCTGTCTTCTTTTTCTCTATTCTTTTTTACTTTGTCACTTCCTTTTCTCCTTTTCATGCTTCTCTCTCTCTCTCTTTGACGTAACTTTTGACTGGATTCAAGGCTGGGAATCTATTTCCTCTTCTTTTTGTCTCTCTTTTTACAGTCCCTGACTCCTTTCTGGTACATAATCACATTTTGTGATTCTATGAAACTACTTAAGGGATTTCACACAGAATCTTCAAGAAAATGGAATCTGTGAATAAACACATAAATGCAAATGTATTCATCCACAAATATACATTCTCACATCAGTGTACATATGGGCTGTTGTTTCAGTATGTATTGAAGTACCTACATATGATCCATAATTACTGATTCCTTTCTCTGCCTGTTCTGTGTTACTCTAACATACTAATGAATTGCACAAGAATTCTGATATGCACAGCAATTTGGTATCCAAACATCTTGAAAATATCGTGGGCCATTGGATGATAGGGCAAATTTCACAATTACACTTTGAATCATGAGTTTATTGCTAAAAAAACACAATGTTGGCATTTTAACTATGTTGTAGACCATGTTTTGTAAGGACTTTATAGCAAGAAAAATTATGTACTTCTGTGATTGTTTTAGACCAAAGGTTTTCAATGATTATTACAAATTCTAAAATTATGACTGGACATTATGCTGGCAACTGATGAGCAGATTAACACTAGCTTGTTTGTGCTGACAGCATTTCCATCATTTTTCCTGTTTGCTAGTATACTTCTTTACCTCCACCAGCAATATCAGAACCCTGATTTAACTTAGTTACTGAGCCTCCACTACTGTCATGAGTTGTACAATACATAAGGGCAATCATGACATGATGTTGGCTGCAGCTGTTTCAAGTGAAATGTCAGAATTTCTTTAAATTGTGGAAAAGGTTTCTCTTTTTTTTTTTTCTCTTTTTTTTTTCAGTAATATGGTTTATTTCTAAACCACTTGTTATTTTGTGGAACTAGAATTGGGAAGAATTACATTTATAAGATGGGACCCTGCAGCATTTGTGGTTCCCATTTATCAGCTGAAGCTAGAATGGTGTGTTTAACTGTAGTATGGTAGGATGTGGAATATGTTGAGATAATAAAAACAGTGTTGCCAGCTTGTTCATTGTTCTTCTAATATCAACAAATAGAACTGGCCTTAACAGTTAGGAACTACTACTATCCACAGGTCTCAGCAACAATTATAGACCTACATACTTCTAATCCTAGTTCTGTTCTGGCAGCACTTCAGGGCCCTTTTAGAATCTTTGAGAAAACATGGGCCCAGATTCTAAAGGACATTTGGGTATCTATCTGATACTTAGTAAGATAAAAACAATATAGGTAGGATTTTAGTTGTTAGATATGGAATAATTCTTCACGTCTTTGACTACAATATACCCTAATGTAAAGAAAATATTTTACTGTCAGTCATGCTTCCTAAATACATTGCATATTTTAGCTTCAGATTATTACCCAGGCTAAAAAAATCCCACATAATTTCCTTTCTTTTAAATATTGAAGAAGCAATGAAAAACAAGATGCTTCACTGTTTGGAGAGGGCCCAATACACAGCTAGTATAATAACAAGTAATAACAAGCAAATCTTCAGTGAATTAATATTTAAAAACTTCATTCCTTGACTTCCCTAGATAAGTTAGATTATGTAATAGTGAAAGACACCCTTTGTAACAATGGCATTCCATGCCAGATTGTTCAAATTTACCAGTTAATTGATTTATAGAGGGCTTTACAACAGCTCACTTGGATTTCCAAAAAGTACATAGCTTTTCTCTCAAATGTTTGAAATAATCAAAGTTATTTCTTTACCTTCTGAACATTTTAATGGAGACCTTATCCTGTTCATTTGTAATCTCCTGACCAACCTTCTTGTTACATAAGTGAAACAGGTAATCTTTTTCCTGAATAGGTAACTTAAGGGGTGGATAGCATGGGGCAGTCGGAATGCTTCAGGGCATGCAACAGAGGGTAGAGATGTTGCCACAGTGTGTAGAAAGGTGCAGTGTGCTAGGACCATGCTGCTTTGCTGTCTTTTTTCTTCAGAGTGATGAATATCATGTGCTGCTGGCATGCAGTATGCACTGCCCCGGACATCGGGCAAATGTTATCAGCAAGGCTCTGGGGAAAGGCAACAACCTTCTAAAAGATTTCACGTTGTAACAAATAAAAAAAGAACAGGGAGAGAAGGCAAGGAGTATCTTTAATACAGTACTTCTCAACAAAGAGCTGCAAACAAATCTGAACAGAAAGTCAAACCTTTCTTGCTGGTGTAATATCCTCGAGTACTGCCGGCAGAGGTGCTCCCTTGTGGACAGAAGTGAAAGCTCAGCGAACCAGATCCGAAGGCGGTTTGAAGCTGAACAGCTGAAAAAAATGCACTCCCTTTGGGAGTACTATTAGTACCGGGTCTGACGGAGCGGCTGACCCGTTTCGCTATACCTCAAAGGCATCAGGACGAACCTCCTCATCCAGCCCCAGTTGAGCACGGATCCTGGGCTCCGCCTTGGACGTGCGTGCGGAAGCGCCCCAGCCTTGGCCCCTAGCACCGAGAGCACAAGGTCGCTTCTTTCCAACCCCCATGTGCTCGGAGCCGAGCCGGGGCGGTTGGCACAACCCACAACCCAGCCTTCTATCGCCGCCTCGGCGGAGCGGAACTCTGCTGATCCCGAAAGGTGCTCAGCTAAGGGGCAGCACCGCTGCCTCCACGGAGTCACAAAAGCTCCGCCTCCGACCGATCTGGAACGGCTTGATAAAGGCAAGTGCGGGAAAGCAGCAGGAACCCAACTCGCAGCATCTGCCTATGTCCAGAGCCCCTGACACTTTCTTGCAAAGAAGCACCAGGGCCGGCCGTGCAGCCGTGCCGACGGTGGCGGGACGGGACCCGCTCTACCAGAGCGTCTGTGCGAGGAGACGAGCACCTCGCCCCCAAGGACCTCCGAAGAGGAGGGATTTCTCTGCGAAGGGGAAACAGGATTTTGCTGTGTGGCTTGGAGATGAGAGAGGTCTCTAGAATGGGGTTCCTCCTGGGACTGATGGATCTCCCAGCAGCGCTAGGAGAGAGAAGCTCGGGAAGCCCTACAAATAACAGCCATCCTCAGAGCTTTGCGATCGTCTCCTTCCGATGGGATCATGTAAAGGACCCTTATGTCATTACACTCTGGATACTTGTGGCTAGCTTGGCCAAAATTGGTGAGTCCCGAGTTATATATTAATATGTCCTCTTCCCTCCCCTTCCTCTTTTTCCTTCTCACATCCAACATAAATGAAGAGAGCTTATCAGAAGTCCACTGACCCGTTTTCAGGGGTTTTACTGTACTCTGTCCTGATTTCATAATACTGCCTTACATAGCGCTTAGCAGTGTGATTTTCACCTTCCCGAGGGAGTTAAGTAGTTCATTTTCAACACCTAGGACTCTGGCTTTTGTGTCTGACTCCTTACACATGGTTGCATTCCTTGAAGCCTTTCATTACAGTTGTTCTCAGGAAAAGACTTTTTACAGACATGAAACGAAGATTAAGCCTTATTGCTTATCGAGTGCCCATTCTAACTGACAGTATGCTGTTCTTTTAGATATAATTGGCAGATTTATTAGCTACCACCATCACAGATAAACACAATAAAACCAACTTATGAACTTGGCAATCTCTGCTTTGCAAAGCATTGTTGTATTAGTGCAAGAAAATAAGGAAAATTATTTCACAGAGAAAGGTAACAGTGACTTAGTCTAACTGAATGCAGTATGTGTAAATACATGTGAATACTCCTTGTTTTCTGAACCTTGTGACACCTCCAAAAGCAATCTTACATTAATAATACTGTTTGCTGAACTAGAAAAGTGGCTGCTTATTTAGAATGTATTTTATTTCCATGATGCTATTATCTTCTATTAGAATCATAGAATCATAGAATATCTGGTATTGAAAACAATTCACAAGGATTATCAAGCCCAACTCTTGGCTCCACATCTGACTATCTAAAATTTAAACCCTACATCTGAGAGCATTGTACAAACATTTCTTGAACTTCAGCAGACTTAGTGTCATAACCACATCTCCAGGTAGCCTGTTCCAGTGCCCAGTCAGTTTCTTGTGAATAACCTTTTTCTACTGTCCAGTCTGAACTTTACCTGAATCAATTTGATGCCATTCCACTGGATACTTTTACCTTTTGGATCTAAAATGAGACCACTGTCAGTTTGGCTGATATTATCAACATCATTTTCAATTTTCAGTAAGTATTTTCTAAAATCAGTAGCAATTTGGCTGCGTGACCAGCTGAAAATCATGCTAATATTCTGTACTTGTACTGATAATACTGATATGGGATGTCAACATCATACACCATGGATTTGGCATGTTGCGCCAAATGAAAGATATAAACAGCTCATGCGTACAGTTGCACATAAGCTAAATGCACTGAGGATGGGTGAAAAGTACTGCTTCCACATTCAAATAAATTGAAATAATACTTTTCTAAAAGGGAGGAGACAAGTTATGCAAGGGTTATGTTATTAAGTGGTTTTCAGCACTATGGGCATCGTTTAGATGCTTGCTGATATAACCAGAAGCTAAATATTGTCAACGGAATCAGTGTTGAACTACAAGTATTTCAGATGGTAGCTACATTATCTAGATTACATAAAAATGCAGTTTTGATTTAATTGATTTGTATTGATGGGTTATATAGAGTAGAAAACTGGAGAAACCAGATATGGTGAAAAAAGCAGTGACAATGTTGAGCCTCTGTAAATTTGTGCTAACTAATCTAAATAAAGACTCCTTGTCTGAACCATTCTTTTCTTAGTAAGTATTAACTCTCTGTTATTAAGACTTTGCTGCTTTCTATATGTACCAGCGTTATTCAAAATAATATTAGTGCTTAATAGCCAGATCTGTGCTGTGGGAGAAACTCAGTGCAGTTAACAAGACTTTGATTTATACTTAAAATGCCGAGGCTTGGAATGAGATTGTCTTGAATTAAGATGAGACATTTTATCATAAACCGTGCAGTACATCTGCAAATATTTGATTCTAGGAGTTAGGAAGATGAATACCACTGGTTCCATTTTAAAATTATTTGCACTTATTTCATAGCTGCACAGAGCACGTTACTTACTAGTAAGAAGAGAGTGTCTTATCATTTTCCCAAGCTCTCGAACTTCAGACTTCTCTCACATTTCTGATTGCAATCCTGTACTGCCCCATATGTTGTCTCCGAAGAAGCAATGGACAGCTGCTGTATTCCTCTGCAGAGGAATAAATGCTCCTGTTCTCCCCACCAGCCACAAATAACATATAGCTGATCAGAAAGGTACATTCACTGCCCAACTGTTGATTGATGCAGAAAGCGTGAAGATGTTCATGTAAATCAATGGGAAAGGGAAATGAAAAATCTGCCAGCCTTTTACCTGCCTGTGTGTGTCAAGAATTTTGGAAAGTAGGACAGAAATCCCTCAGAAGATTCTGAAGGGCAAAAATGCTGGGCAGGACCAAGATCTCTAAATTTAAAAAGATGACAGAAAAGAATGGGGGAAGAAAATATAGAACATCTGACCCTGTGTATTACTTGAAGGCAGGCAAACACAGTACAGTCAAAACAGTGATTTTGTTCTGGATTTTTTGGAGAGGGGGGCAGAGTGAATCATGAAAGATCACCTCCCTGTGGCTATAGAAAATGGTAGAGTGTTGACTGGCAATTGGGTTAGCAAAAGGTCGTCTGGGAATTGCAAGCTAGGGGTGAAAGATATATGATAATGCTTTGCTTTCTTTTGCATTACAGTAAGCTTAATTTTTTATTATTTGATAGTTAGCTTGCTCTTTTCCCCAACAAAAATGATTCTGATTGTGATATTATAAGATTTTGGGAAGGGTGTAATTAATAAAAGACACTTTTAGCTCTTCTGGAACTTGTTATTCCTGTTTCATACATTCAGAATTTAATTTAGTGCTGGCAAAGTGTTCTGCATTAGAAGCTGTACTATGTAAAATGTCGTTAAATATCTCTAACACACAAAGAAGTCTCTAGTGTTCTGAACTATATGCAAAAGAAGATGCTTATTTTTTTATTATTATTTTTAATTTTTTAATTTTTAATTTATGTCATGTGAGGAATAATTATATATCTTGACAAATCTAAGTATTGGCACAAAGCTGTGGAATAAGTCTTCAGACAGTTGGCTTTCATGAACTATAAGATACTTAGTCTGTGTCTAATATAAATAATCTCAGTCTACTTTTTCACATGTCATAATTGATTTGATATGACCTCTCCATTTGAAGTCTTCCAGCTCCTTATTCTAAGGTTCACAGTGTTCCATCTAGACAAATTATCTTTATTTCCTCTTTTGATAGGCTTTCTTATCACTACACAAGAGTATCCTTATGGGATAAGGCTAATAAACTACTCACATGTGTAAAGCTAAGCCTTAAAAACACCTTATCTCCATGAAGAAAGTACATCAGGTACATCTGAGAACCCTCCTGGTAGACTTCTTCCACTATGTGTCCGCTTTCTGGTATCTCAGTTGTCCAAACTGCACAAGTAATATCAATAACAAACAAAAAAAAAAGAACCAAAATTATAAACACATACATACATGCTCATTATTTATAGTTACAGACTAGGTAACTTTGCCATGCACGCTCCTATTTCTTTATATGCCTTTAATGGATCACAACTTGAAAACAATGATTTAATAAACACAAATATAGAAGATACAAGCAGCGGGAGCAAAGTCTGTTGTAGAAAAAGTCAAAGACGGGTGGGAGAAAAAGAACTATAGAAGTAGGCAGAAGAAGAGGAATTATAAGCTCAGGAGAGAAAATCAAAGAATCACACAATCACAGAATTGTAGGCATGGAAGGAACCTCTGGAGATCATCACATACAACTCCTCTGAAACAGTAGGTTCCCTACAGCAGGTTGCACAGAGAAGTGCCAAACAGGTCTTAAATATCTCCAGAGAAGAGGACTTCACAACTTCTCCGGGCAGCTTGTTCCAGTGCTTTCACAGTAAAGAAGTTCTTCTTTGTGTTTGTATAGAACTTCCCATCTTCCAGTTTGTGCCCATTGCCTCTTGTTCCATTGCTGCATGCCGCTGAAAATAACCTGTCCCTATCAACTTGACTCCTGCGCTTTAGATATTTGTAAACAGTGATGAGACCCCTCTCAGCTTTCTCCGGGTTGAAGAGACCCAGGTCTCTCAGCCTTTCCTCGTGTTTCCTCGTATGCTCCAGGCCTGCCATCATCTCTGTGACCCACTGCTGGACTCTCTTTAGAAGATCTTTGTCTTTCTTGAACTTGTGGAGCCCAGAATTGGACACAGTATTCAAGTTTCATCTAAGAATATCGTATATGAGTTTGGGTTTTTTTCTAATGGTAGTGTAAATTAAAAAAAAAAGTAGTATGTTTTTTACCTGAAGATATCCACCGTGTGCTGCTGTATGTGTGCTGCACTTGTTCAAAATCCCAGGATGCAGAGAAAGTTTTTATATTTTCATTAACAGTTAGTAACTGCAAGACTTCTATGTGTGTTTTACATCTTTTTGACTACCACAACACTTTCCCATGCAACAGTTAATTGCTTTGCACTAAAAAAACTACAAAGCACATTTTTGTGTTGGTTTGTTTGTTTTTGTAGTGGCAATGTAGCCAGTGACAATGAGGCTCATTACTGAAGTCTGAGTAACATTTACTGCCTTATTTCTGCTACCTAGACTACTGACCTTACTATTTACAGGTCTAATCATTACTGCACAAGGTAACTTATCTCAGTAAGGCCAGCTTAAGCTCATTGTTACTGTTAAAATGCCATATCCATTTTTCTTCTTCACTCTGTCCCATGTCTGCACAAATAGCAGTACCCTTCTGAGAGATAAAGTGGCCTTACAATGACATCTGCCAACGTCTTCAGTACTCTTGGATGAATCCCATCAGCATGCATGGCTTTGGGTATGTTCAGTTTGCTTAAGTACTCTCTGATGTGATCCTCTTCCACCAACAGTTTATCTTCTTTGCTCCATATTATCTCTCAGATCTTTGGAACCTGGGATTCCTGAAGGCCGGTCTTGCGAGTAAAAACCGAGCCAAAGAAGGCATTCAGCACGTCAGCTTTTTCCCTGTCCTGTCCTGTCCTTTTTCCCTGTCCACAACCCCCACCTTATTCAGTGGGCCCATGCTTTCCCTAGTCT